TAACTTATTGACTTTTATTTTTCTTTATTTATAAAATAAATTTTATAAAATATATTCATTAAATTATATTTATTTAAATTATACTTATATTATATTTTTCTTTCATTTTAAAATAAATAAATAAATGCTACAAAATGTCTAGAAAGCTAAAGTTATTAACAAATGGGAAAGTAAATTAAAAGTGGTAGAAATGTTAACATGCACTTTAAAACATGAGTGATAAATATACTTACCACGACTTTAGAAAGGGTTCAGGTGAAATGTTTTCTGTCCTTTTCGAAGGAGCAGACAAACAAATAGTATGTCTGTAAACCCATACGAACTTTTTGAACCTGTACATTCAGACACAGAAATAAACTAAAGAATAGCTTTTAGAAGAAAAAAAATTGTAGCTTTCAAAACAAACTCATTGTAAGTTTGATATCCCCTAAGATCTAGTATACGTGCTACAAGTGGTATTTAAAAAATTATTTCTATTGTCTCTTACAGCAGTTTATTAACTCTACAGTCTATAAAAACATTCTTAGCTTTATTGAGACTGCGTCGATTAACTTAATATGTAGNACAAATGCTACAAACGTCAGAAGGAATTATAAATTTTATAAATTATATACATTTTCTTATACTAAACAATCGTAGTCACCTTTATCAAATGTGTAGAAAGCTGAAGTTATTAACAAATGGGAAAGTAAATTAAAAGTGGTAGAAATGTTAACATGCACTTTAAAACATGAGAGATAAATATACTTACCACGGCTTTAGAAAGGGTTCAGGTCAAATGTTTTCTGTCCTTTTCGAGAGAGCAGACAAACAAATAGTAAAAGTATGTCTGTAAATCCATACGAACTTTTTGAACCTTGTACATTCAGACACAGAAATAAACTATAGCTTTTAGAAGAAAAAAAAATTGTAGCTTTCAAAACATACTCATCGTAAGTTTGATATCCCCTAAGATCTAGTATACGTGCAACAAGTGTTATTTAAAAAATTATTTTTATTGTCTCTTACAGCAATTTATTAACTCTACAGTCTATAATAACAAGAAACGAAAAACATATTTAGCTTTATTGAGACTACGTCTACTAACTTAATATGTAGCGAGTAAATGTTTTAATTTATTATTAAATGATAGATAATCAGGCTTGCCAATTTCTACGCTTTATGCAAAATATTTCATAGAGTGGTGGACATTTAAAAACCAAAGCTATCAGAAATTTTGGTCAATTTGGAATATTAAAGATTTTACCACGTAAGAGGCAGATCTAATAAATGAACTTGCATATGAACTTAGAAAACATTTATGCAGTGGTGAGGAATTAAATGTAAATTAATAAAAAAAATGCATTAAAACCTAATCATTGCCGCCACAAAATTAAATACTTACATAAATAGTAAAATAATGCAGCTAAATATGCCAATGCAAATTTCTTATTACTTTTTTTTATATTTTATACTGGTAGTTTTTATAAAATCATATGTTGCTTTTGCATAGTATATTTCTTTAGGGCAATCTTTTATTCGTTTATTCCTTACCACTCCAGCATCGTGATTGAGTTTTAGTGAAAGAAAAAGCAATTTTTAATTTTGTAATGATAACACTCTTCGTAACTGTTGTTTTTTTCATTTCCCAGACTGCCAACCATGGCTGAAAGCCGTTATATAGCAGGACAGAAAAGTACAAAAACTGGTACGAAAGACATTTCATTTTAGCATTTTTTTTTTTTTGAGAAAAATAAAATATCTGCAACTATCAAGATTTCTTTTATAATTTTAGTCTATATATCAAACTGCTTATTTTCCAAGGATAAAGTAGATATTGTTGAATAGTTTTGAAAAGAACAAGTTAGCTCCTCCCGAAAACTAGTTATACCTGAAATGGTTTTACTACCATCCTTTCCTCTTTTCCGTCTCGTTTTCACCCCTGCTGCTAACTGCTACGCTTTTTGTATAATGTTTTTTAGAATAGTTGACATTTAAGACTCAAAATTTACTGATTTTTGATAATTACAAAAGTTTCACCAATAAATTGCGGATTTCAAAGTGACTTTATATATGAACTTTTAAATCGTTTATATGTAGTGGCGTGGAAATAAAGTTTAAATTAATAATAAATTGAAACCCTAACTTTGTTACTACTAGAATAAAGTTTTGCAAAAAAATGTTGTCTGTCCTGTATTACAGTTCGAATAGGATGAAAGAGGTCTCTTTATAGACCTATTAATAAATATGAAATAAATTTTTCCAATCAATTAATATCTTCACTTTTACCACCTTCCAATTTTTTGGTAGAAAATGAGTTTTCTTTTCTTGTTATTAAAAAAATTAATTAGAATGTACAAGTTTATAATGAACGTATACGTTTTTATGCGTCTTTGAAATTAACACTTAAGACCGAAAACATATAGTCTGAACGTATCGCAGTTTAAAATGAAATGCATTATTTCTTCTTTCCTACCAATCCCTATGCATTAGAGAAGTGAGTGTACTTAGTATTCCCTCAAGGAAATTTTAAAAAATCCAGAAGAATAATTTATAGGTACGGAAGAATAATTTATATAATTATAAGTTAAAAACTGTTGCTTGTAGAAAACAATTGATTGCAGATTTGAAGTAAACGACGTGAAAATATTTCATATCTGCTCAAAAATTTCATGCAGCAGACAACAAACAAACAAGTAAGTAAATAAAAATTGCTCCCCACTGATATTAATCCAATGGCCAAGGACTTTATTAGGGTCGCGATGGCTTAACCTTAATTGCACTAATTAATATTTACTGACAATATTCTAAGTTACAAAATCAGAGTCAGGATGACCGCAATCGGGACAAACTAAAAAAGTAACGACAAATGTTTTTGAGGATTTTGTAAATTTAAAAAAAATAAAGTAATGCAGTTTTAAAAGATTGATACAATCCCCTTAATTTGAAAATATATTTTGGAAGATGAAAATCAGTTCAAATAAATTTTGTTTCCTCAATCATTATTTACCGCTTTTGAAAGTTTAACCAGTCAAGATCACCCTGAGTAAATATTTTTTTTACAACCGCTGTTGAACAGTTGACCCAATTTTAGGTTTGCCTACCCATGTTAAACTCTATAGTCAAGTAATTTTGAACCCAATTTAGAAGAAAAGGGAACTCAAGGATCGGGATTGGGCGAAATTTCGCCTCAGAGATTAACTTTTTGATGGAACTAATCAGCATTTGCATTACTCGGTTAATCTGACGGTAAAAGGACGGACCATGGTCCATCTGCCACTAAGACTATTTTACGTCTGCATTGTGGTCGGTGTGAGCCGGTAGCAGAATTCGTATCAACCAGTCACCAATGGTATTCGAAACTGAGTTATTTAAGTGGAAGGTGAACGCTCTATCCCCTGAAGCACTGCGGGTCATGGAGAAAATATTTTATCTAACTTGCTTTCTCTGAACAAACACATAACTTTATTTTCGATGGATTTAAAATTTTGACCCCCAAAATATAAGAGGGTGGTAGTCCTAATTTAGAAAATACGTTTCCAATAGTTAATACAAGAGAGCAGTCAAAGCTTTGCATCGTGTTTTCCACATTGAATCAAAAACCTGAATGTGTCTAAATAGCATGACTAGATAAATAATTAGAATAAACATTTAAATCATAAAAACTAAATAAAAATAATATTTGTTACAGGAAAGTACATTTTTGTGTCTGATTTTGTAACTTAACTATCGCTGCTCTAATTCAATACGATTTGGTTACGTCCTCAAACCCTAAATATTGAATCTTAATACTCTAAAATCTGATAATCAGATGTAAAGTTATGAAAGAGATATTTTTCTTTGTTCACTCTACAAGTGCTGTTTAAGGGACATATTGCATTGCACATTCGGCATGGTTGTCAGAAAGTGATTTGTAATTGTAGTTTTATGCATAAGAAGTACACAACATGTTTTAAATCTATTTTCATGACTAACAGTGCTTCGAGTTTCCTAACAAATAAATAACAACGACATGTGCTTAATAAAATTAAATCAATCACATATTTCATTAGAAACTGATATCTGATTTTAGATCAATCATTGACTAGAAAAGAAAGAAATAATTATATATATATATAAAATACTCAACTTTATGATGATATTATTGAGCGTTATGAGCTTTTGTTTTTCTTTTTAAGGACTGATTGTAAACTTCTCTTTTAAAAACTGTTGAACTCTTTGAGTGGTCTATAGCTGTCTCATCTTCTATGTGCTGTTTGCCTCTACGAAAAATATAATTGTTTTATCTATTTATTTATGTTTTATTATTTATTATTGAAATTTTTATAATAAATGTTTCTTTTACAACAAATATCTGGTGGTTTTGTTTATGAAATATCGTAGAAATAAAGTAGAATCCCTATTTTAAATTTTTTTGGTGAATTAGCTTTTAAAAGGAAACGGAAAGCGCTCAAATGAAACGGAAATCAGGATGGGTAAAAATACTATCCTATTTTTGAAAAACTAACATTTAAGATATGAACTATTAGAAAAACGCGCATTCTTTGTTACTATTTACATATTATGGAAGGATGAAAAAACATGGAGAACTTCGTGACCCAAATTATTTACCGTACACCAACCACCATGTACACAGGGAGTTTATTCCTGCCAACCGTAAACTCCCCGGGTGAAACACCTTTAACACAAGGAGTTTTCGGTTGGTAGAGATCGAACCCACGACCTCTTGGACATGACCCCAGCACTCTACCAACCATGCTATCCCGGCATATTAATATTAGACATTGCCTTTGCACCGATATTGCTCAGCAAATAATTTTTCTACCATGAACCTACAATTTCCTTCACAGAAAGTACATTAAGACTCTATACTATTCTTAACAATACACTTTACAACATACTATTAAAGTCGGCAATAGATTAATTAAAACTTGCCGGTTATTCTTTCTATCTTTACTCGTATAAATAAGTAAAAGTGACATCCATTCATACAGAATTAAACAGAAATGCATAAATTTCTGACTACAATTTATTTTTAAATAGAAAAAGAAATTTGAAAAAAAAACTTGATCAGTTCTGTTAAATTCTCATAATTTCTCAGAACTCATAATTTCTCAGAAAACAGTTTCAGACGAATTTCTTCATTTCAGCTTACGGTTTCATCTGCTTCTTTGTCTTCTAAACCATTCGGTTGTGGCAATCTCTGTAAAATACCTTTCTTTCCATCAATCAAAATATAATCACCTAAAATATCGATACATAACATCTAAATAATGTCGATGAAATAAAATCTTATTTTAAAACAGTTAATAAGCAAATTTAAAAAAAAATATCTTGAAGAATTTTAAAATGGAATTAAATGAAAGAAAAGATAAATACACTTAGTACTTTTTTAAAATAAAAAGTAAGATCTAAGCAGGGTTCCAAAGCATCTAGAAAATAACTGGTTATAAAGACATGCCTGCCAACTACTACTCCTTTCCATAAATGTCTACCACTTCGTGAAACATTTTACAAAAAGCGTAGTAGTTGGTAGGCTTGAGGAGAGGAACTGTAATCCCCCTAAGCATATGAAAGACAGGGCTGCCAACTACAACGCTTTTTGCAAAATGTTTCACGAAGTGGTAGACAATTAAAAACCAAAGCTTTCAGAATTTTTAGGTAATTTTGCGAACATTTTAAAAACCTCAGATCTAAGGAGCTGGTACAAAGTGCTGTTGCGTATGAACTTTTAAATCAAGTAGTAGTGTTGAAAAATAAGTTTAAATGAATAACAAATAATACATTAAAACATTAATTTAGTTACTACTAGAATAAATTATTACAAAAAACGGAGGAAAGATTGCAGCCCCGTTAAAGTTACCTGTTTTGAACTGCTTTGTGGCTCTTCGTACACCGACAACACACGGCAGGCCATATTCCCTGCTCACAACAGCTCCTGAAATGAGTAAATATGAATGTTAATTTCTATTCGATATAATCGTACTATTTCAATTAATTTCGCTAGAACCGTGGTGGATCAGGGGACAGAGTGCTCGTCTTCCAATGAGGCGACCCATGTTCGAATTCAACCTTCGTCGGTCGATATGAATTCTGCTTCCAGCTCGTAAGAGCCACAGTACTGACATAAAATGGCATCAAGTGTAGAAATATTAGAATCCCATTGCCGTCAAGCTAACCGTGGGGAGTTTTGTAATTTTCCTTTCCCTGTGACATGTATTGGGAGAAATTTTTCAGTCTTGCAGGACTTATTGATGGATTTGATTTACCTGCAGAGGAAATCCACACTTGCGTTACATGAAGAAGAAATAAATGAAATCTTCCGACTGTTAGCCAGACGGCAAGGAGACTCTAATGATCTGTCTACCACTGGGGATATTTTACATCAGCACTGTAGTCGGTTCGAGTCAGATGCGGATAGACCAGCCATCGCTGGCATTCGAACCTAGGTCAAGCACTCTATCTCCTCAGCCACCACGGTTCATTAAGAAATATTTATCGAATTATATGGAAAACTCATTTATTGGGGTGTAGCAGGCGAACCGGTAGTTGGAGATAGTTTAAAAGTAAACAATTTGGACAGCTGTGTCCTTAAATGTATTTACATCAGATTTGACCACGATTTAGAATTGGGTACTGACAACTCGAGAAGTGAAGTGATTACGCCTAACCATGTTATTAAAATAATATTTAGTTGAATGCCGGTAAGCGATTTCACGCGTATACTGGCTTCTGAATCGACACATGTCCTGATTTACCTTCGATGACGTCACTTGCAGGTATCCAATTGCGAATTAGTATACGGTGCATACATACAACCATTCTTCTTTAGTAATACAGATCACTTTATAGGGTTGTAAATTTATTAAATATTAATACGAAATGCTACTTAATTCCAGTCACTTCGTGATAATGCTTTGGTGCATTTTTAGAATTAATCGAAATTAATTGCCTACTTTTTTGCCAAAGAGGAGCAATCGCATGCAATCCACCATTTGAAGTAAAGGCGAGATATTTTTTACACTTTTAATAAAATAAAGAAAAACAGTTGTTTCAGAAAAGCATTCTTACAAAATGAGAATCAGGATGTAATTAACCCGTTTAATCCCGAATTTATATATAGAAATGATACAAAAAGTGGTTTTATGGAAAAAGTGGTATAATACATTATCGAAATTAATTGGTTTTTCTACTGTTAGGGCATTCAAAAAGTCTTTGATAGATCAAAAAATACTTGCTCCTTATAATTCTAGATCTAACCAGAAATAACTAAATCATTGTGGTATCTGAGAATCTTTTAATTCACCCAGATAAATGAAAATGCTGAAAAAGAGTTTCCCACCACAATGAATGTTTTTGAANGACATTAATTTTGCTACCGTCTGAAAAGAGGATTTCTGAAACTACGGAAAATCCGTAGCAGTTGGAGGGTATGTATTATATAATCAATGTGCTGGATATGTAGCACCACCAACCGATTCATCTCATACTTTTTATGCTCAAAAGTTATGAAGGAATAAGCTTATACTATAATCAATGTTAGCTCAAAGTATAAATAAATAATTTTATTTTGAACTAAGTGAATTAAAAAATCAAACAATTATAACCCCGCCCACAAATAAACTGCTAAAGAACTACTTTGATTACCAGTTTTATCCTTTTACCCTGATTGATACGGTTTTATGCTGGCACGTATTTGTGACAGTCGGCACGAAAGGGTTAAAGCGATGAGCAATTTTTTATAGTATATTTTTTTCCAGTTTCCCAGAATAATTCGAAATTAAGTCCTGGTGATAGTTACGATTCATTAATTAAATATATCCCTGCATTCATGGGCAAAACCTAACAAGCAGTAAAAATTGGCAAGAACTTATAATAGCATATTATTCTTTCAAAAGTGTTACTTCATATAATTGACGAGATATTTGAACGCGGAATTACATCATATGAGTTCTGAGCTATATGAGTGCATAGTTACTCATATGAGTGCAGAGTTACTTCATTCGCGTGCTGAGTTATATGAGTGCGGAGATACTTCGTACCAGTGAAGAGCCGTTTGAGTGAGGAATTATATCAAATGAGTTCAGAGTTATATGAGTGCAGAGTTACTTCATATGAATGCAGAGCAATCAAAGACTGGTCATAAGACAATGTATTTTCTTAAAAATTTCGAAACAAATGTTAAACGCTACGTTGTTGCAATTCGCCTATTTCAAGCTAGCTTTTGTACACATTCGTTTCCAAGTACCAAGAAAAGATTAAAAAAAATAGAGTCGGCATTCCATTTTTACGAATTCATCGGTATCGAGAATTGAATTCACTAAATCGGGTTTATTCGCAATATCGGTGTCCAAAACAATGAAATATAGATTTCCAAGCTTACCTAATGTTAACCTTACTTAACCCCTTGGGGATGGGTGATTCATAAAAGCATTCGTACAAAATCAGAATCAGGATGTAAATAAATAAAAAACGGTAGCTTAAATGTAGGAGTTGCTTATTTGGCAGACTTACTTTGCTTTTACTTTAACTATTGTTAGTTTAATCATATATATAATCAATGTTAATTCAAAGTATAACTAAATAGTTTTATTTTGAACTAAAGTAATGGTGAATTAAATAAGTAAAACAATTATAACCTCGCCCACAAATAAACTGTTAAAGAACTACTTTGGTTACCAGTTTTATCTGTTTACCCTGACTGATACGGTTTTATGCTGGCACATATTTGTGACAATCGGAGCAAAAGGGTTCATATGAAACTACTCAAAAAATGTTCCATATCTAAAAATTTGCACTACTTATTCAGCAGCTGAAAATGTAACGAATTTTAAATACGCAGTTCATTGGACTAGTGTACCAGGAAATTCACTTCTTGTTAATATTTTTAGAAACTTGGATTATTACTGAATTTTTAGTTACTTAAAATTTCAGTGAACTCATTTTCCCTGACATTTTAGATATTAAATTAAATTCCCTGATATTTTTGTGATTTTACAAAATTCTTAAAATTTCCTTATTTTTTCCTGTTCTCCGTGATTTTCCTGTTACATGGCCAACCTGTTAATGCATAAAACTACGTAATTTAATTCAACAAAAAAAAATCTTAAGCAGAAATTTGAATATTTTATTTTATAACCGTCGTTGAACACTCGACCCAATCTTGGGTTTACAACTACTAATGCTCAACTCCGCAGCCTTGTAATTTTGAACCCAATCCAGCAGACAAGGAAACTCCTGGATCAGTACCTCCAGAGGTATGATTTGTTATGGGAACATGGAGGACTTTAAGACGCGACAGATTTTACGTGCTTTAGTCACCATTTACTACACGGGGAGTCTTCGGCTGGCGAGAATTGAACCCACAACCTCTTGGACATGGGCCCAGTGCCCTACCAACCTGGCTATCCTGGCCCTTAGGCGATATTTAAAACTATTAATAATCGAATGGGCTGGGATAGCCTGATAGGCAGGGCACTGGACCCTTGTCCAAGAGGTCGTGAAAACGATTCCCACCAGTCAAAGACTCCCCGTGTAGTAAATAGTGGCTGGTGAATGTTAAATCTGTCGAGTCACCAAATCCTCCGTGGTCCCATAACAAATACTGCTTCTGGAGTACTGAATTGGAGACTGATCGTTCTCTTGTTCAGGTTAAAATTACGATCTGTGGATGTATGAATGTATCCGCTCTATAAAGGGGTGTGACGTATGGGTGTAGCAGAAGTCAAAATCTTGGCCATAGATGGCGCCACTGGAAAACTAGAACAATCACACCCCTTACCTTCCTACTACAGCAACAACATAAATAATCGAATATTACCATCCATGACTTCCTTCTGGAACTTCGATCCAATAGTCAGTTCTTCTATTGTGGGATCATCATCCCCGTTCTTCTTCAGCACAAAAGTATCAGGCTCAACGGATCCGGACACCACAGTCTAAACAAGATGAGTTTTTTTTATTTTTTTATTTTTTAACGATGAATCAATTGAGAGTTAAAACTATAAAATTAAATTTGTAAGAGATTCAAAAAGACTTATAAATTGTAATACAGTAAATATAGTAAATAATTCATAGTAATATAGCAAATTTAAGAGTTCTAAGATGTTTGGTTGTAATAAAACTACTGAAAGTCTTAGTTTAAATGTGGTAAAATAAGTATTCTAGGATGTTTAGTAAAAATATTAAGTCTTAGTTTTAGTATTGTAATTCTAAGAATCCTAAGATGTTTAAATTTTATTTAGTAAGTTTCCTTTGTTATTTGAATTTAATTAAAAATACTGAATGTGACAGTTTTAATATAGTAACTATAAGCGTAATAAGATGTTTGAATTTAATGAAAATACTTAAATCTTGGTTTTAATATGGTAAATATAAGCATCCAAATATGCTTGAATTTAGTAAAAATATTGAAAGTCTTTGTTTTAATATGGTAAATATAGGCATCAAAAATGTTTGAATTTAATAAAAATACTCAAAGTCTTTGTTTTAGTTTTGAAATTGTGAACATCCTAGGATGTTTAAATTTAGTAAGTTTCCTCCGCTGTTTTAAATTAATAAAAATACAGAAAGTCACGGTTTTAATATTGTAAATATAAGCATCTTAAGATACTTCAATTTAACAAAAGTACTGAAAGTCTACGTTTTAGTATGGCAAATATAAGCATCTAAAGGTGTTTGAATTTAATAAAAAATACTAAAAATCTTAGTTGTAATATGATAAATACAAGCAGTGTACCATGTCTGACTTTAATGTAAATGCTGAAAGTCTTTGTAAACATGGTAAATAAAATCATCGTACCGTGTTTGTTGTAACAAAAATTCTGAAAAACTTTTATATAGTAAATATAAACATCGTTAAATGTTTGAATTTAATGAAAATGCCAAAAGTCTTAGTTTTAATATGGTTAATATAAGAATCGTACCATGTTTGAGTTTAATGAAAATTTTTAAAATCTTTGTTTTAAAATGGTAAATATAAATATCGTAGCATGTTTAAATATAATGAAAATGCTGAAAGTCGTAGTTTTGATATGATTAATATAAGCATCGTACCATCATGCCATGTTTTAGTTTAATGAAAATTTTAAAAGTCTTTTTTCTAAAATGGTAAACATATACATCGTAGTATGTTTGAATTTAATGAAAATACTGAAAGTCTTAGCTTTAAAATGATTAATATAAGCATCCAAAAATTTTTGACTTAAATAAAAAAAACTCTGAAAGTCTTAATTTTGAATATTATAAGCATTTTAATATGTTTAAATTCAATAAAAATTCTGAAAATTTTAGTTTTAATATAATAATTATAAACATCGAAACACGTTTGAATTTAATGAAAATACTGAAAGTTTTAGTTTTAATATAGTAAATATAAACATCGAAACACGTTTGAATTTAATGAAAATACTAAAAGTTTCAGTTTTAATATATCAAATATATGCCTCTGCAGGCATGTCTATTAAGATAAGGATTGTTTTGTAACTCTCGTAACTTAAAATATCGTCACCACAAACTGATTAACATATTTAAATTACTCCCTGATTTCATCGAGAAAAGCATCACTGTGCATGAAAATCGAATAATTAAGTTAAAAATTATAAAGCTGTTCTTTATTTTGGGTACAGAATTCTTTAATACTTGCATTTTAATATCCAAAAATTAAAATAAATTAGAATTTCAAATAAATACCTCTCCCAAACCATAGTTTGCTGTGATAGTAATGCTGTTCGGGTTGTTGCTGACTGGATCACATGTAAACATAACTCCCGACACCTGACATGCAACCATCTCTTGAATCACAACGGCCATCGGCGAATTCAAAAACTGACAATGCTGTCTGCAAAAAATCCAATTACATTTTGATTACTTTTAAACTTTTCACGCTTGCTGCTCAGACGATCCTGCCTGTATGAAATGTGCCGCGGCACATTTTTCGTATCTTTGTAAAAATTTCATCTTACGAACTACCGGCCTGCATCAACTGCCAAGGAGAGCACCTGACTTTATTTACTGGTTGTAACTGAATATCCAAGACCACACAGATGAAAAGGCTCCACCGAAATGTTGCCACCCCATCTTCTCAATTTCTGCAGTTCTTGAAAGAAATACTACTAAAGACGAGGGCTCTTCTCCAAACCCTTCTCTCCAATATCAAGACCAGTGGTCGGAAGAAGCGCAACTAGTGGAACTACTGTGATTGCTACATTTTTTGCGTAGTTTGTAATGTATGATAGGCATAATTTA